CAGGCAGGTGGGTGAACAGGTGGGTTGGTGGGCTATCAGGCAGGTGGATGAACAGGTGGGTGGGCGAGCAGGCAGGTGGGTGGGTGAACAGGTGGGTGGGTGGGTGGGTGGGTGAACAGGTGGGTGGGTGGGTGGGTGAACAGGTGGGTGGGTGGGTGGGTGGGTGAACAGGTGGGTGGGTGAACAGGTGGGTGGGTGGGTGAGCAGGCAGGTGGGTGTGCAGGTAGGTGGGTGAACAGGTGGGTGTACAGGTAGGTGGGTGGGCATTCAGGTGGGTGAACAGGTGGGTGGGGGGGTAAGCAGGCAAATGGGTGGGCGAGCAGGTGAGGTGGGTTGGCCGGTGGGCATGCAGGCAGGCGGACGGGCGAGCAGGCAGGTGGGCGAGCAGGCAGGTGGGTGTATTGCCACGTGTATTGGCAGGTGTATTGATCACTACATACAAAATAGTAACAGGAATTGATAAAATCGATAGGGAAGATTTTCTGAGACCTGGAACTTTAAGAACAAGAGGTCACAGATTTAAACTAGCTAAACACAGATGCCGAAGAAATATAAGAAAATTCACTTTCGCAAACAGAGTGGTAAACGGTTGGAACAAGTTAGGTGAGAAGGTGGTGGAGGCCAAGACCGTCAGTAGTTTCAAAGCGTTATATGACAAAGAGTGCTGGGAAGACAGGACACCACGAGCGTAGCTCTCATCCTGTAACTACACTTAGGTAATTACATGTACATGTATATGTGTGTACACACACACACATACACATGAAAAGAAAAGAAAATTAAATAAAGAAAAGAAAAATACAAGCAGCCGACCAGTGGGCAGAGAGCACCACGCCAGCCAGGCGAAGAAGGCACAAAGAAAGCACAAAACTGAATCAAAAGGCCCACCTCGACAACAAAACCCAAGGCCCCGGCACGACTACAACATGTGCCAAGACCCAAAAAGATCATCCTGCAAGCCAGGAAGACCCCGGAACCCCAGAAGGCAGAACCGGATCACACACGAGGAAACAAAGCCCCCAGAACCCACAAAGGGGGCTCAAGAGGAAGAAACCTCTGGAACGAAACCAAAGAACCCAAAGGAACCTGGAATCGAAGCCGACCGGAGGGAGGGAGGGATGCCGGGGGAGTATCCGGGACTTGCCCAGAAAATGGCATTTCATTACATTCAACACTGGTTTTCTGGGGGAAGCCCTATCAGCTTCCCAGAGCAAACTACCCAAAGACAAGGAAAAACAGGAACTAACCCGGGTGGCAGTCAGTCCTCACTCCTCAACGCGAAGTCAAGATAACTGGCTGCAACAACCGACCCAATGCAAAGCAGGCCCTACTAGGTAAAGGAACATTAACCAAGTAGCGAGCGGACAGGACCCTGGTCGATCTCCAAAAACTCTGTGCCCAAATGTCAACTCAAGACATGTTGCCCAAGACAGCAGCCAAGGCAACAAACTTAAAAATATTGTGGACATGAGGATAGATCTCAGGCTGGCTAGACTTAATAACCCTGCGGATGACCTGGGAGACCCGAGCCTGGGAACAGGGAAGAAGGTAAACTGGGTCAACCCAAAGCGCATCCCCAGCCGCCGTGGCACGTAAATAATGGAGGAGAGCCGCAACCAGACAAAACACATGAGGCACCCCCAGCTTGACCAACCAAGCATCAACAACTCAAGAACCTCTCTGGAAAGTAGCACTCATTCTTCACCAGAAAAGAAGGAGATGGCTGCAACCGAACAAACCTACTACCAGGACCAAAAGGGCAGAAACCCCTGCGCCGGAGGAGAGCATGAAGCTGTCTGACCTGACCCCCAAGAGGTCAATGCCAACAGGAAAACAGGCTTAAAAAAAACAATCCTTAACCGATGGAGCCACAACAAACCGAGGAGAAGAGAAAAAAGAGCACCCGGTCCAAAGACCAGGATGGCTTAGGCAGCGCATGACCAGGACAGAGGTGAAACAATGCACGAGACAACTTGCGGAATGGAACAGACTTAACATCAATAACGAACGCAAGCTGGAGCGGCTATACCAGCGCCGCACGATACAAGGCAACAGTATTCGGCATAAGATGACGGTCCTAAAACAACCACTAAAGGAAGGACAAAACAACCATATCAGAAACTGAAGTACACCTACGCAGTGATAGGAAAAACCGGAAGGACTGCCAGGAAACTTCATACTGCTGCAGAGACGAAGCACATAGGTGGGAGACCAACAATGAAGCCACCTGCTTCCCATACATGTGGTGATGGACTCAAATCAGAAACTCCATACGTGAAGACTCGAGGAGAAGAACGACCCAGCATTGTAACGAGCTCAACCAATCTGCTGAAAAAGGCGGAGCCGCGGGAAGATCCTCGAGTTCAGACACCGAGCAAGCAGTGCCTGAAACCAAGGCTGGGCCGGCCACCACAACTCGAGTAAGGTGTGCGAAAACACAAGGCGCCAGATTCAAACCGAATGACAAACAACAAAAACTGTAACCCTGACGCCCCACAACAAAACTGAGCCAGTCCCTGAACTTTGGATGAATTGAGACGTGCCAATACATGTCCTTGAGGTCCAGGGACACCATCCAAGCATCCGGTTCCAACAGAAGACAGAGTAGTCATCCGAAAAGAGGGGCAATAAATCGACGGGTTCAAACGGGACAAGTCTAGAATGAGCCGGAGGTCCGCGCAGTCCCATTTTGGGACCAGAAACAGGCAGGAAACCCACCGGAGGAACAAGGTCGTTTCAACTACGCCCAAGTGAACCCACTCCAAGATGACCCGACAGAGCGCAGGAGAAAAGGCTTGCCCCACCAGCCCCGATATCCCCAAAGGAGGAGGAGCCACCCAACACCACTGCAGGCTGCACGAAACGACCCGAAAAACCCAGAAATCGTGGGACCAGGCACAAGCAAACAGAGCGACCCTTCTCCCTATCACCCTGTCAATGGGATGAAACGCGAAGGGGCCGAATCTGGCACCACTAGCCGACCATGACAGAAAGAACCTTGACGTGTACCACGTGTATGCAAGTCCTCCACGACCAATGCAGCCAAAAGGGAGGGAATTTGCACATGGAGCTGCACCACACCAACATCCCGCGGAAGGGCAGGGGCGAACAAGCATGCATTGAGATGCTCGAAGTCGCCCCCCACGAAAACTTGCAACACCATCTGAGCCTCCCTCCACTCAGGTGTGCAATACCGACAAAACATATGCCATGCCTCCAACAAGAAAAGAAGGCAGTCTGTTAACCAGGATGACTCAGGAACTTCATAACGAACTAAAAAAGGACAAGATCATCCATACACGAAGGAATGAGGATCCATTACAAAGGCATAATCTGGGTCGCTCAGGAGGTAAGCTGCAAGTGTTTCCCACATCATATGGGGCGGGACGCGGGAAGACGAAAACCTTCAGAAAGACGGAATCGAAGAACCCACGGAATCACGGAACCGAACCTGGGGAGGGGTAGACACCAAATCCAATTCGTACAAGGACAAAGAGAAAGAGAACCCCACTCCTTGAAACACCAAGCCCCGCTCCAAGGGTACAAAAACATAGTCGGGGTCAAACGGGGCCCCATATTATTTTCCACAATTTTCCTCAATTATTTTCCACGTGTAAATTATTATGTATCTTTCCCGCCTGCGCTCAAGGGAGTACAGATTTAGGCTCTTTAGTCGGTCCCAGTAATTTAGATGTTTTACTGAGTGGATTCTAGCAGTAAAGGATCTCTGCACACTCTCCAGGTCAGCAATTTCTCCAGCTTTGAAAGGGGCTGTCATTGTGCAGCAGTACTCCACTCTAGAGAGCACAAGCGTTTTGAAAAGTATCATCATCGGTATAGCATCTCTAGTGTGAAAAGTTCTTGTTATCCAACCTGTCATTTTCCTTGCAGTTGTGACAGCTACTTTATTGTGTTCTTTAAAGGTAAGGTCTTCCGACACGAGTACACCCAGATCCTTTACATTCCCTTTTCGTTCTATGTTATGATTTGCCTGAGTTTTGTACATGGTTTCCGTTTTTATATTTTCATTTTTTCCGTAGCGCATGAGCTGGAACTTATCTTCGTTAAACACCATATTATTTTCTGTAGCCCATAGAAAGACCTGATCTACATCTGATTGGAGGTTTGCCGTGTCCTCTATGTTGCCTACTCTCATGAAGATCCTAGTGACATCTGCAAAGGATGATACAGTGCTATAGGTTGTGTTCTTGTCTATGTCCAATATGAGGATGAGAAAAAGTACTGGAGCAAGCACAGTACCCTGGGGGACTGAGCTCTTCACGGTTGATGGGCAGGATTTTATTTTGTTGACTATTATACATTGGGTTCTGTTAGTCAGGAAATTGTAGATCCATCTGCCTATTTTTCCGGTAATTCCTTCTGAACACATTTTATGTGATATAACACCATGGTCACATTTATCAAAAGCTTTTGCGAAATCTGTGTAAATTACATAAGCGTTTTGTTTGTCTTCCATAGCATCTAATGCCATATCATAGTGGTCCAGCAACTGCGACAGGCAAGAGCGCCCTGTTCTGAAACCATGTTGTCTCCCGTTCGCCCTTTCGTGTTCATGTTGTCGCCCTTTCTGTGGCTCCCCCACAGAAAGGGCCTCTATAAGTCCAATCATCTGAAGTGAAATGTTCAAGAATGGCAGTAGCGGAGGGCAGCGAGACAGGAAGGCTGAAAACCCTGCTCAACTGACCAAAATAAAGCTAGCAGCATACAAAGCTCTTTAACATTGCTATGACTAAGAACAGCACCCTGAATGTAGGCACAAAACATACACTCATATGCCAAGATAAAAGAAAAGTTCCTTGTCATGGCTGGGTGAAGTTGACTACAGGCTGACATGGGAACAGTATCCTGGGTTGACCCTGGCTGCTGGTTCGCGGAGTAATTGAGAAGGGTTTAGCCCAGAAAAAAAAGGAGAGATGGGATAAATAGTAAAATTAAAATGTCTACCCAGTACTTGATGTTTTACAAATCTTCCATCTTACCTTTATTTCTGAATTTTGGTGTGCCCTGATCATCACTGCTCTCTGCAGACGACCGAGTGTCCCAGTCGCTCGAGTTGGATGAGGAAGTGCCACTGCGAACCTCCAAAATCTGTTGAAGTGTATTTTTGAAGCTATCACTACTACCTCCAAGTTCCACATGGTGGCAATTTACTGATGTAGAAGTCTGCTTAATTCAAAGACAGGACTTTAACCCATGGTGTTCATAAAAAAATTATTAAACAAATTTATTTTTGCTTTTAATATTGTTAAAATGCATTCACTGATCACGGGAAACTTTAAAACCAGATAAATATGCCAAAACTAGAAGACAGAAGAAAAAGAGGTGATTATGATCACTACGTACAAAATAGTAACAGGAATTGATAAAATCGATAGGGAAGATTTCCTGAGACCTTGAACTTCAAGAACAAGAGGTCATAGATTTAAACTAGCTAAACACAGATGCCGAAGAAATATAAGAAAATTCACTTTCGCAAACAAAGTGGTAGACGGTTCGAACAAGTTAGGTGAGAAGGTGGTGGAGGCCAAGACCGTCAGTAGTTTCAAAGCGTTATATGACAGTGTTGGGAAGACGGGACACCACGAGCGTAGCTCTCAACCTGTAACTACACTTAGGTAATTACACACATCTTCCACCAAGTTTCAAGTACACACAATGATCCTATTTCATTTTCTTCATATTTTTATTGACATTGGCTTGTTTTTCAAGTGCAATTATGCATTGGGTTATCAATAATATTATTTGTGTCACAGAACAAACAGATCTTAGGTACACACAGATTGATTTGCATCATTAATATGCACACAATATTATATTCTTTGAGCAATAACACATTCAGATTTAGTTATTACTACACTATACACATGTCATATCTATCTTCAATTTTATACACCATAATGAACCATTAAGTAATTCTACTGGGTATGATAATGAAATCCAAGAATAATATCTGTAGAACCAAATGCACAGAGAAATCACACTAAAGTTGACACAATATATATCAATGAGAAAATCCAGTGGAGCTCTGGTCGCGGGTTTCGATTCACCTCAAGGACTCCAGTTGATTTTCTCACAGATACTACGAGCAGATGACATCACCTGATGCAGCAAAATGCCTTCAGTATACTGCACACATTGCTAAGTCTAGCCACAACACTGCAATTATTATCAGATTTGTCACTAAATTATGAATATGAATAATTTTCCAAAAGCTTATTTTCAAAAGGAACACTAGGTCACATTTCATGATGCATAGATGCATGAACTCTCGGCTGTATACTGTAAATGTCTGCCTCCCACTGTGAACATCATAAATAGCATTGTGTTCACTGATATCTGAACCTTGTAAAGAGTTTGTATTACCATCAGGATCATCTATGAAACTATCGTCCTAAAATAATTGCAGTTATTATACATGTACTTATATTTATTCTTTATAATTAACACTTTCGTCCCCCCCCCCCTGGATGTCTGCAATGTCCACAATTAATTCTGCGGATGTGTGACAAGGACGGCCACTTAATCCTAAAATGAACGATGTAACACGAAAATTGACAGGCTACGCTCGGCCGAATTTCAGGTTTGCTACAGGTGGCATGCCAGGCATTTTTACCTTTTATGCATATACAGTACAGTATTCCTTTAGTGAATTCTATTGTGAACGAAAATGAACGCTGTAACAAAAATTGACGTGAGAAAACACATTTGTGGGCCAGTGTTGTGGGTTTGCCAATGGGTGCTCGCTCACGGAGTAATGCTTAGCCGACTTTCGGCTTTGCTGCAGGGGGAGGGGGCAATCTTTTGGACATTATATGCATATACCTCTGTAGGGAATTCTATTGTGAACATATTGTGTGTTGATATAGAAATGAACGATGTAGCACAAGAATTGAGGTGAGAAAACTTAAAAGTGTGTACACATTTTAATGCTCTTGTGTGCTCATGGGTAACACTCGGCCAATTTTGGGGTTTTGTGCGGGTGGCATGCCGGGTTTTTGGACTTTATATGCATATACCCCTGTAGGGAATTCTAATGCAAACACATTGATACCAAAATGAATGACAACACAAAAATTGAGGTGAGAAAACTGAAAAGAGTATACATATTTTAGTCTGGTCGCACACTGACGCGAAACGCCCGGTGTACATTGAGGTAGACTGAGGCACACATGCCGAGTACGCGAAAGTGTTAAGTGGTGCTATGGCCCCAACCTGCACAGCTGTGCTGAGAGCTCCTGCTGTACGTGCCAGCCCAGGTAGGTCTGACAGTACCGAGACTCTCACAGCCTGGAGAGATGTAATATTTTTGTCAAGGGGATGTCTGTTTACTGGAGTCCTGAGGAACAGGATGCGAGCCCCGTACCTGAGGGAGTTTTGAATTGTTCCCTATACCCAAAAAACAAGTTTCCTTAGTTGGCACACCACCCATCAACCGAGATATCTCGTAATGCTCGGTGCAGGGATCAAGATATGGTTTTTAGCCAATTAATATTACTTACTGCACCGATCTTGTAAGTAGGAATATTCTGAAATATGAATAAATTGTAGCTTCTTTAGCCAAAATCAGCCTGATAAATGAAAGAAAATTTAATTACCCTACTGAGTATTTAGAAGTTACAAGAAGTTATCAATATTTGGGGGAATATAAGGAATAAGAAATGCCATGCACTACCCCAAACAAATTACACTACCTTCACATGACCTTGAAAGTGAAGGAATAATATACATACGTACATTATTATTACCCAGTTTCCCACTTTCAATGGGTGAAGAGGCATCAACCTGCAGGAAAATGTTGAGTAATACAAAGATTTTATATAAAAATAACAAAACATTACAAATATCACTCATCCATTAATTACATCATGACCACACTCCAGAAGTCATTCATAACAGTAATCCATCACTACATAATATCAGGTATATAGTGTTCTTCATTGATTGTTAATTATATATAAATATATTCACTCCATACAAACCACTCCTATCCAGTCTTCTCTTTACCACTTACTAAGAGTTGTTTACACTCACTACATATTTCCTTTATCCATCACTCACTCACAATGTCTGCCTACATTCTTCCTAGTATTCCTCTTTTCCTCATACTCTCCAAATTCACTAGAATACACTCTCTTTACCAGTCTACCATCATCAATTAACTCAATATGCCTAAACCTCTCTGGTTTAGGTTTAAGATCTTCTCAATCTTGCAGTTTACCGACTATTGCATTCTACATCTCTCCTTTGAAATTTTAATAACTACTCTGTCACACCACACATGATTTTCAAATTACCATCTCAATTTCTAGTATGCTAACTCTTGCTTTTTTATGTTCATGTCATGCTAAACAATTATTTTGCAATCATACATAGTACAACCATTTTTACATGCAGACCTCTGGTTGCATCTCTTCTTATCTTGCCTTTTCTAGACAGGGATTTCACTGCACCAACAACTTCCATGGCACACTTACTTGTAATCTGGATACAGCAGGGTTGACTGTGGGTTGGAAGTTTGGAGGAAGACTTAGTCGTGGGTTTCCTTCACTTGTGGCACCACTGGAAGAGATTGAAGAATTGCTGCTTGATAAACTAGTTTTTCCAATCTTTGCTGCAGCCAATCGTCGACGGAGTTTGGGCATGTCAAAGGGTAAGTCACTGTAGGGAGCTTCATGTTTTCTGCTCATATGAAGACCATATTCGATACTAATACCACTGTCTGACCCTTGGACATCTCCTTCTCTTGGAGGACCAGGAAGAATGTGGTGAAAGTTACGGAAGTCTTCTTGAATATTCCTGGGTTGCAAAGGAGTCTTCTGGCGTGACATGGCTGAATGTAATTCTGCCAAATCTTGCGGAGAGGTTTTCTGAGAAAGGCAGCCATATTCAGATGATGGTTCCTGGGACTTATCCGAAATAGGAGAGAGGATCTGAAACTTTGCGGACTGGATAAGTGACCTGTGGGGAGCACTGAGGTTAAGGGCAGGACGGGATAGGAGGGATGAATCACTTCCTAAGGACGAACTCTTATAACTACTCATTGCCGACTCATTGCTCGCTGTGCTCTTGCTACCATCACTCATGGAGCTACGTAGACTCTCAAGACTCGACATGGTGCTTCCTGTTACAACACTCTCAATGCTGGAGTACTTTACATTTACTCCAGGAGGCATAAAACATGATTTGATATCCCTCTGGGAAGAACTATCAAGAAGTACCTCCATGGAGGCATTGAGACTGGTGTGACTCTCACAAGGCGGTGTATTTCTACTCAATCCCAATAGTTCTTTACTTAAACTTTTCTTTATTGGAAGGTTTAGATCCTTTTGTCTTGGGGGACTAAACCAACTGGAGGGACTTTTATCTGCAATGGGAGTTCTTTTGCAGAATTTAATGGGCAATGGGGCAGTGCCAGGAGGACTTCGCAGTTCTAATGGTCGTAAAGGAAGTCTAGCAGGGATGGCCTGAGATTTACTAAGCTCTGCTCTTTCTTTTAACTTCTTATTCTTCTTTTTTGAACTCTTTTTCTCCTTTTGTGATTCTTTGAAATAGTCATCACTCTGCATATGAAGAGTTTTCAAGTCTGCAGAGAGCTCCTTAGCATTCTGACCTTCAATGTAATCCTCAATGTAGTCATCTTCGTCCAAGGAATCAGACCCACGATTAAGAATTTCATCATCACTCTTTGACAATCCTATGGGGCGGACACGATGCTCGGTTATATAGTGAGTGGATACACTGCGAGCAGGACGAGGTGCTAAGCCACGTCCTCGATCACGACGACCACCTCTGGGAGTATACACACCAACCTGCAAGATATATAAAGAATAAGTGGAAAACCTTACCAAAACCTAGATACTGTACAAGCAACATTCAAAAGTTAATGGGAGAATTGTAGACCATGGTTAAAAAATATGAATACTATATTTTAGCTAGTTTATTCAAATAAAAGACTAAAAAACATACTGTAATGTTATACTGCATGTATAATTTACTATTCTATTATAAATGTAAAGTTAAGCAGTCATAACTGGTTAATTGTTAAGCATAAATTTTAAAATGAGTGACTGCCTCAGTAGATATAAGCTATTAAGTTTGTAAAAAGAAAAAGTCTGATTAAGAAAAGTATACAGAACAAAAAAAGTTATATCTTTCTGCTGTGGAAAGTTTCAGTAACACCTAACAGATCACTAAGAGAAAAACTAACAATAACTAACATTATGAAGAACTTGGGAATGTGTAATCACCCATAAAAAGAATTGAGCAAAGTTATAATCAAAATACTGTAACAGCATAACCTAACAAATTTAAATGCCATACTGTCTACTATAATGATTAAATTTTTAACACTTTTTCTTAAATCCAACCAATATACAATTTCTAAATGTATTTAACAAAATTGTATTAGCAACTGCCTAAGGTAATTTAATCTCACCTTAGGCAGTTGCTAATACAATTAGGCAGCTGATTTGATATCATCATTACTGAATAACTAAATCAAATCATTAGTAAATTCTACTGTTGTTCATCCATAAACTATTCAGTTTTCTATTGCTAAATCAAAAGACAACAAGACTTTTACCTGAAACTTAGGATCAGAAGAGGTAGAAGCAACAACAGTATTGCCTGGAAAAGTTCTGGTCCTGTGACAGCCATGCCCACCATTGCTTTGTCCACCTTGTCGAGAACGTCGACGTAGATTTAAGAGCTGAAGGATAGGGTGGTTGGCGATGCGATCTATCAGGTCCCCTCCATCCTCGCTTTTCTTCTCCACCTGCCGGAAGCACGGCGAAGGCTGAAGCAGCGTTAGTTATGTTCGTACTGTATCTGGATTTTCAGCTGGTTAGAACCTTAGAAAACATACATTACTTAAGGGGCCATGTTAGTTTGGAAAATGAAAAGTTGTTCATGTCAACCAATATTTTTTGACTAGTTGTATATGAAAAGGGCTGCAATTGTTCAAGTTTCAGTACTGCAACCTAAATAGAGAGAGATATAATTTTTTTCTTCAACGAATATTACACATTTCAACACAACTTGAAACAACCACACCTTTCAGATATAATCATTCTATAACACTTTTCTGACACATTAGCATATAATAAAGGATCTGTAGCCAGGGATTTTCTAAAACATCTTTAGTTTTCCTAATAACAATAGTCAAAGTTCCCCCCAAAATTATGCAAATATATCGTGTTTATTTGCTATTATAAAATCAATAAATGAACTTATGGAAACAAAACGGCTCCAGATTTTAAAGACAAACTTTACATATAAGGTGTAAGTTTCATGTAAATTGAATAAAAATGAGTTCCAAATCATTTATGTTACTTGAAAAATAAATAATTAAAATATTAAGTCTAAGGTGCTGCCATCTGTGGTTGAGGTTGACATCAACCAATTTCCTCCAAAATTGGCACTCTTACAGATAGGCTTACATGCAGTCAGGTCTATAAGTTTCATGCAAATCGTTTGATAAACAAATAAGGAAAAAAATAAATTTTTTTTTTAACAAATTTTTTTAATAACACTAATTATAATTTGATTTTAATATATGCTATTGTGATAGCCGAGAGTCATAAACATGATTTCAGTTGACACTTGTGTTTGATAATCGTTTTTGACCATTTTGGAAAATTTTTGACACATAATTCAATATTTTTTTCTCCCTTCCTATTTATGCTACAATGCTGAGACTTGGACCAAAAGAAACTCTTTTCATATACAACTCGTCAAAAAAGTTTGATTGAAATCAAACGAGTTTTCATTTATTGTATTAAACTCCCACCTAGCCCCTTAAAGCCAATATTTTAAATGATCACCTGTGAAGCTCTGATTATATACAGCATTTCATGGCATGCCAAAGCAACTAACACCCTTGAACTATTCTCTATCAACTGTATTGCAATGCCTCTTAATGAATGCAAGGTGCATACAAATATTAAGGAATATTATACATTAAACTACAGTACTGTATTTAGAACACATCAGTGTGATACTGTACCACAATACAGTACAACCTCGATTCGGCACATTATATGGGACCAACCCCAGTTCGTTGTGGGGGTGGATTCGTTGCAACAGATGACCTTCAGGAGGCCTTTGCGTCAGTGTCCTTTTTTCTTAAATACAATAAAACTGTATTATCATATTATATACTGCACCTATATTATTACTACTAAAAAACCAGCGTTGAATGTTATGAAACGCCATTTTCTGGGTGAGACCCAAAGGTTCCCTGGAGCTATCCAGGCTGATATTGTTATATTAGACTTTGGCATCAGTCATGTGAAATGAGTTCTTAGGCCTACCATGGACCACGAGCCAGAACCTGGCCCCCTCAGAGAGGCACGAGGAGCAATGGCCCATAGAAACCCCCATGTGATTGGAAGCGTTCTATGTCTGCAATTGACCGGGTCAGGCACCCAGAAAGGTAAGCGCCCCAAAACAAACCCCTATTCTGGTTAAGAAATTGCTACTGAAAGCCGAACTAGTGGACAGAACTCCCCAAACAAAAACGAGCAAACGAGCATGACGTCACCACGTCGCCGCGCCGCCGTCTGCGCAGCTACCCTGTCCCCGGGAGGGGTAAGGGGGAGCCCCAGACCCCTCGTGCCGGCTACCCAAACCCCAGTTTTGAGGCTGGATGTCAAAAACACGCGAAAAAAACTGACAATCGGAGGGAGGGAGGGTTGCCAGGGAGCCTCTGGGTCTAACCCAGAAAATGGCGTTTCATTACATTCAACGGTGGTTTTGTGGGGGGAGCCCCATCGGCTTCCCGGAGCTACCCACCCAAAGACGAAAACGAGGGACCTAACCCGGGAAGCGGAAGTAGCTCACTCCCCAATGCGAAGCGGAGACAAAAGACTGCATCTGCCAATCCAAGGCCACACAGGCCCGACAAGGCCCAGGAACATCAACCAGGTAACACGCAGCTAGGACCCTGTTCAACCACCATAAACCCTGCTCCCAAATGTCAGCCCAACACTGACACCATGCTACCGAAAACGGCAGCAAGCGCAACAAACTTACGAACATAGTGGGCATGCGGATACACTGCAGGCTGGCTGGACCGAATAACCCTGTGGACAACCAGGGAGACCTGAACCCTGGAACAGGGAAGAACGGAAGCCGGATCAACCCAAAGCGAGTCCCCGATCACAGAGGTCGTTGCGCGCAAATAACGGCGGAGAGCCGCAACCGGACACAACACATGATGCATCCCCCGCTTAACCAACCAAGCATCAACAACCCAAAGACCCCTCCAGAAAGCAGCCATCTCATTCTTCGCCAGAAAAGGAGGAGATTGCTGCAACCGAACAAACCTATCACCAGGACCAAAAGAGCAGAAACCCCTGCGCCGGAGGAGAGCACGAAGTTCCCTGACCTACCTCCAAGACGCTAAGGCCAACAAGAAAATAGCCTTGGAGAAACAATCCTGAACCGAAGGGGCCACAACAAAGAGAGGATAAGAGAGCACCCGATCCAATGATCAGGACGGCTCACAGGTGAAACAATGCACGAGACAGCTTGCGAAATGGCAGAGAAATAACATCAATACTGAAAGCAAGCTGCAGCGGCTCTGCCAGCGCAGCACGATATGAGGCGACAGTATTCAACATATGATGACGGTCCTGAAACAACCACGAAAGAAAGACAAGATAACCCTATCAGAAACCAAAGTGCACCTTCGAAGGGACAAAAGAAATGGAAGGACCACCAGGAAACTTCATACTGCCGCTGAGACGAAGCACGCAGGTGGGACACCATCAATGAAGCCACCTGGTCACCATACAAGTGATGTTGGGCTCAAGTCAGAAAAACCAGATGCAAAGACTCAAGAAGATCGAACCAGCCACGTACCACACCGGACTGATATGCTGAATGAGGCAGAGTCGCGGGAAAACTCCCAGGTTCGGACACTGAGCAAGCAGCGCCTGAACCAAGGCTAGGCCGGCCACCAAGGAGCCAAAAGGACAAGTCTTCCCTGGAACATCTGCAAGCGAGCTAGGACCTGGAGCAACATCTGAACCGGGGGAAGAGATACATGAACCCCCACCTCGACCAGTCCTGCCTGAAAGCGTCGATCCCGATGGCCTCGCAATCGTGGAAGGGCGCCACGTTTAACGGGAGATGCCTCAACCATGCTAAGACGAAAGAGGGCCACCTCCAGGAGCCCATACGTCTGGCAGAGACAACTGAACGAGTCGACGTCGACTGTCCATTTTGTGGACAGGGGAGTGAACCGAGACAGACTGTCCGCCAGGATGCTGGACACCTCGACCAGCCCCAAACAGCCAAGGACCGCATTAAAGCCCCCTCGGTTCAGGCAATGAACCACTGGGGAGCAGTTCGAATGGAGCCGGATCATCGATCTGCGGGTGACCTGAACCATACTATGCGAATACCACACCTCCGCGAACTCCCACACCGTGCTGTGAACCCGACAGAAGGACAGACCCCATCTCCCCTGGCTGGCTTGCTGAGCACTGGTCACAAAGCCCCAGCCAAGAGATGACACGTCTGTAAACGCATCAAGCGAGGGCTTGGGAAGGCGCCAAGGCAATGAACCTCGAAAAACCCGAAGAGGAAGTCAGCGACGCAGCAACCAATGCCAGGTCCCCCGAGGCCAAACCCGGCGATCGCGAGAGAGGCAGAAGGGATGTCCTTGAAGGAACCAGAACAGCCGACGAAGCCAAACCCGACCCGGCGGATAGAACGTCATGGCAAAGTTCAGGCTCCGGCACAAACCCTCAAGCAACCGCCGGGTGACCTGGGAGCCCCCCCAGAAACAGGCAAGGGCGGGACCACACGGAGACTCTGGAGAGAGAGACAAGGAAGCGGTCCGAGAGTCCCACACAAGACCCAGCCAAGTCCAAACCTGGGAGGGAGACCAGATGGGACTTCCTCCAGTTCACGAAGAACCCAAACATGGCGAGCTGGGAAAGAACCAAATCCCTGGCAAGCAGACACAGACTGATTGGGAGCCCATACCAGCCAGTCGTCAAGGTAGGCCAGCACCCGAACACCTAAGAGATGCAGACAGGCCACCAAGACCCGGGTAAGGCGTGTGAAAATGCGAAGTGCCAGATTCAACCCAAACGGGAGACAACGAAAGCGGTAACCAATACACCCCACAACAAAAAGCAAGCCAATCCCTGAACACCAGATGAATCAGGACATGCCAATACGCGTCCTGGAGGTCCAGGGGCACCATCCCAGCCCAGTGCTAACAGAAGCTGGACCTGGGACAGAGTAGGCATCCAAAAGGAGGAGCAAAGAACCCAGGGGTTCAGACGGGACAAGACCAGAATGAATCTCAGGTCCGCACAGTTCCGTTTCGTGACTGGGGACAGACGGGAAATCCGTCTGAGAGACGAAACGATGAGCACATCATCGTTTCAACCACGCCCAAGTGCACCCACTCCTTTCCACTTTCCACCAAGTGGAAAAAATGCTCAAGGAGCTAAGTAAGAACAAAGCAGTTGGTCCAAATGGAGTTTCATTATGGGTTCTGAGAGAAAGTGCACCTGAGCTCAGCATTCCACTTCAACTGATTTTTCAGGCATCCCTGTTTATAGAAGTTGTAGCTGATGTGTGGAAAAAGGCTAACATAGTTCCGATCTACAAAAGTGGCAGCAGGGAAGACCCCCTCAATTATAGACCTGTATCACTGACAAGTGTAATAGTCAAAATATTGGAAAAAATAATTAAAACTAAATGGGTAGAACACATGGAGAAAAACGACATAATATCACACAGACAGTATGGTTTTCGATCTGGAAGATCCTGTGT